ACGCCACCTCTGCGCATGGCTGAGATTCCAACCCTCAACAACAGGCAAAGGTGCTTGTGCCCTGCTCGCACTGCATGGTCCTGAGCGGACAGAAGTCGCCCTTCATGTTTCCGCTCGAGAAGTGCCAGCAGGCCGCCACTTCTCCCAACCAATCCATTCTCTTCTGTCCCATCAACGGTTCACCTCACCTCCATCTTCACCGCCGCCAGGACTTCGCTTGCGTTCTTTTTATTCTGCGATCGCTGTCGTGGCTCATCGTACTCCACCCACCCCCCCCTCTCCCAACGTTTCAGGCAATACGGGGCAAGGAGAGCCCAAGCCGGTCCGTCTCGATCACATCGCACCGGATCTGGCCATGGTGCATCTCGACCGGCACAAGATCAAGTGGTCAGACCTGGAGAAGGAGGAGACTCAAGTCATCGGCGTTGGTACAGCTTCTTGCCCCGTGTCCGAGTTTGCACCACCGCACACACCATGCAAGGGTGCTGACCACGCGTCGCATCGTTGTATAGGCGGGTTTGCGTCGGTGTACAAGGGCAAGTACCTGGGCGAGCCCGTGGCGATCAAGGAGCTGCGGAGCGCCGAGCTGGACCCCACGTTCAGCGATCAGGGCGGCGTCAATCGCAGCGACGAATCACGGCGTCTCACCTACGAGGAGTTCCGACACGAAGTGTGGATCATGAGGTGCGCGGAGCTTGTGTCATATGTCGTGCGTGCTGTGTGTGCCGTGGGTTTTATGTGTGCGTTGTGTGTCGTTTGTGGTGTTGCGCCCGCGGCTGACTGTCTCTCGTTTATAACCGAACAGCGGCCTGGCGCATCCGAACCTGGTCGGACTGCGAGGGTTCTGCTTGGAGCCGCCCTGCATTGTGACAGAGCTCGTCGAGGCCGGCTCGCTGTTCGATTTTCTGTCCGACCCGGCCAAGAGCGTCGCGCTCGACTGGCCCCTGCGTCTCAAGATCGCCAAGGACATCGGTGAGTTTCTCGTCCACATTGCTTGGTCGCACCCCCCCCCACACTCACCACCACCATCACCGCCACAGCCAAGGCGTGCGCGTTCCTTCACAGCACATCGCCGCCGGTGATGCATCGCGATCTGAAGAGCCCCAACATCCTGGCACGTTACCACACTTCCACGTTGTTGTTGTTTGTCAGCGCGGCGTGCTATGCTGCGTAGTGTGGTGCAGTATGGTGTAGTGAGTGGTTGCTCATGTGCATTCCAATAGTTGGCGGATCTCTCGCCCAGTGCCGCGGTGGTGGCCAAGGTGTGCGATTTCGGCGTGTCCCTTAGTACCGCTGAACGTACGGCTATGCGAAAGGTCGACTGTCCGGGTACGCACGCCATCTCACATTTGCTTGTTGCCAAGTGTGTCGCCTCCGCCCTC